CGCACTGAGTGAGTGCGTGGCGAGGTCGAGAGGCGACGGTAAAGCGGCTGGTCGGCAGTTGAGAGAAGAAAACTGTGAAGTGAGCCGAGCCAACTGTCCAGCAAGTAAATAGGCGTCCGTGCCGCGTGGCCAGATCGATTGGAAGGATTGGTGGGATTTAAAATTGTGTGCGCACTTGTGCTGTCGACTCACAAACCACCACAGTGCACGAGACGTGGAGTCGAGGCCAGTGGAGCGATGACTCATGAGGCGAATAAGGCGCGTGGCAGAGTGAATGAGTCATCACAGTTGTGAAATGGAGGCCTGATATGAAATTGTGAATGGGACAACTCAAGTGCTGTCTGAGCGCAGTTAAAGGGATCGATGTAGACGAAGCTAGACATGAGGCAAAATAATGAAGGATAGTGCGGATGAGTCACCACGTCGGTTTAAGCCCAAATAAAATTTGTTGTGGCACGAGCTTTTCGTATGCCACCTTGGCATAAGTTGGAGAATTGATATCAATGAACTGGTGTCGATGTAGCGAAATAGTGTTAAATAAGTCTTAATGTTAAATAAGCATGGTATTATGGAAACTTTTATCAAGATATTGGAATTGATGTGAATTCTGCATAAATGGGGCCTTGTTGACTAGGTGCATTCTATACCAAAATAGAGCATGGGCGGCTAAATGATACTGCTAGGAACCTTAGGTCTCATGCGATAAACTGATCATGTTTCCATTGAATTTCACTCAGCCCTGCTTCTCAAAATATGTTATACTCCAAGCCTGATTTCTGTTTCAACCTAACCTGAACTGGATTCATCAACATCCACAGAAGCAATCACACCCGGGAAGTGCAGTTTACAATCTTGACATGTTACCACCACACCACACTGCTACCAGTGCCCAAAGGTCATAGGGGAAACGTGAATTTAAAGGAAGGTTTATAGACATTTATAGAAGATTATCGATGGGGCAAACTTGGATTTTGTCAACACAATAGACCATTTTATCCATATTCACAAGGGACAGGTCTCGAGACTATAAGTAAAACTTGGGAGTCTCGAAACATACTTTTTACAAATATATACGGTTCAACTAAAGCCGATACTTTGAGAATATGATAAATACACGAGTTTACTAATTTACGGATGAATGGTTGAGTTTATGGCAAAGAAATGATGCGAATACTCTCTCGCGTGTGAGCTCTTAGCACATATTATATCAAAGGCCGACATTTGGGAATCTGGTGACAACAGATTATCACAATGTAATAAATAGGGATGAAAAAGGCCGACCATCAATTGCTGAGCCCCTGAGTTTTGAGCCCTCGAAACTAGAGGCTCATTAGTAATTACGATATATGATAATGATTATCGTATTAATTCAGATTGTTTTGTACCACGCTCGACTATTTATTTTGCATCTGAGTCTACTGTAATCCCGACGATGTTGACTACTTACGACCGCTTATTGGCTTATTGACTTACATTATTTTTCTGAAGCATTGTCTAAAATCCTCCTAGTTCTAAGCATCGTGTCCTTTGGTTAATATACAGAAAGTGATAGTGTCCTGTAATATTACTTACAATTGTACAACCTTACAACCTTCCGACGCCCTAAAACCCTCTATATAATACCTAGTTGACGTTCGCTTCATCAATGGTCTTAGTGTCTTAATATTTATGAAATTGGGTCTACTTTCAGACTCAGTCTTGCCTTTCGGATAAACCTAAAGTGGCATTTCTTTCTCCTATCAATATGTCTTCCATTTCGGATCTATTATCGGAGAAGGTCATCATGAATCCAGAACTGACAGAGAAAATTAAGTCGGCAAATTTCATTAAACTTTCATTTACTCACTAGTCTGTGGCTCAATGCCTACTCACAATTTCTATGCGGTTGTTTGTGATTAAAGTCATTTACGCTTTGCTATATCCCTTAGTTTATGCTTTGTAC